GGGGGGGGGGGGGGGGTTCGAACCGGTAGTGACCCCCCCCGGTTTTCCGCCAGCAGCGGTAGAACACGCTCTTTCGCATTTTAGGATGCCTCCCGCGAGGGCCTACAGCCGTAGACAAAACAAGTACAACACAGGAAAGCAGTTGACGACAACGCGGGCAACCCGCCAGCAACGACGAACAACTTTTAGAGCGCCCTCTGACAAGCGAAAACAGAAGCATAGCCGAACAGCAACGCGGGGCAACAATAACAAGCGACCAAGAATAACAAACGCGCCTAAGCGACAGACTCGGGTCGACGCAGGGACAGCGATGCACATATGCGCCGTCTGTTGCGGAAAAGGGCATCCGCATTTTAGGGTGCCCTCGTGGAGACGAAAACCAGCAAACCAAAACAGAACGCACGCACGGCATCACAACGATACCAACCTACCAACAGCGAAACATTTGGTCAGTGGCAAACGCACCGTGACTCAAGCGCGCTGAGAACACATTGGCGCTTACGGCGCTGCTGATGCTACGTGGCACGACCCGCAGCTCGCTACCGTCGCCGCAGCCATTTGTGCTCAGACGCAGGTGAGGCGCCATTCCCTGCTTCCAGCATGGCATACGAGTACGCATTTGTTGACGCTCCCGCCTACGGCGGCGGCGTACCGCCAGCCGCTGCTTGGCGCAATGTCGGGCTTAACCAGTCGTTGCGCTTGGCAGCTGGCGAGGATAGCAAGGGGGGTGGTGGTGGTGAGGAAATTGTGTGTTTTCTCTTTGGTTCCCAGGACCGCTTCATGGCGTGCACCTGGCCCCGCCGCTGGGAGTGCAGGAGGACCAGCGCGCTGTTCACCGCAGACGGGCTCGCGTTCGACGTGTAGATGACGCCTGACCCAGCATTGTTCCCGCTCATCGCCCGCCCGTACATGTGCTTGGAAGTTCACGCGGAGCTCATCTCCCGCAACGACCAGGCGCGCGCTGTTTCCCGATTAGTGCGTGTTGGGCGCGCCGCTTCCGATCGCGTCGATTGCCATCGGCGTTGCGCTTGATCATGTCGGCACCTACGAACCGATCGATCGACCGACTGACCGATCAGATGTCGATTGCGAAGTGCCGACCGACCGATCTGATCGCGACGCCCGTTCGCCTTGTCAGGAATCTGTACGATGCGATCTAGATACGCGGTTGCACCCGAGGCCCGTACGTGCTCCGTCCGCTTGACGTCCCCAGACATCGTCGGGTGGACGATCGACATGGATGTGGGTTGGTCGGCCACTTGGAGCTTTATGGAATGGCGCGTCCAGGGAGCGCTGGGCCTGCCACCAAGCGGGGTAACCCCAGGTCGTTGGTCCTCTTCAGGTTGAAGCCTGAGAAGGCCAAGCGCAGGGCGCCTGGCCCAGGCCCAATTCGGAAGAGAGATTGGGCGCCCGTGGCGTCCAAGTGGCTGAAAAAATCGCCGTGTCATCTTGCACACAGACGGTGCGAGGTCGTACAAGATGAAGGTCGACGGCGTCTTGCACGACTGGGTTGTCCACAAAAATAAAAGGGTGCAGGTTGGCGGGAAGTGGGCGTGGCTGAAGCCTGCTTTCACGAAGGTCCGCTACCACGATGTGCCTGACGAGAACAAGCCCAGTGGGACGACACGCTTGTGGGTGAAGTGCGGCACGCAGTTGATCGACCGTGCCTGGGGCGACTTGCGCAAGGCAGTCGGCAAGGGCAACGCGAAGACGGTGGGCTCTGTCCTCCTCCGCAACAAGGCAGGCAACTTGAACGGTGCGTGCCGCGTCTGTTCGCGCTGGCGCCGCCCCTTCAAATTTCAGTGCAGCTGAACGCCGCCCTTGAGGGGGTGGGACGTGTCATTCGCCCCGCGCGAAAAGGTTGGCGGGGGGCACGCGCTGGGATTTGGAGAGACGGCCCAGCGCGACATGCGCAGTTCCTGTCCGCTCTCTGGCCCATGCAAGGTGCGTTCTTTCCAATGGGCGTACTGGAACCGCGGCAACGACCTCTGGCTCGCCACTGGCCAGATGCTCCGCGACGCGTGGGCCAAGGACTACGGCCAGTGAGCTCTCTCGCTGGCTTGACCGAGCCCGCTGAGTGACTCGGCATCAGGCGCGCGTGCGCACGTGTTGTTTAAATCGGCTCGGCCGAAGTGTTCTTATGAGACCAGGTGTATGGCCAGACTCGCACTCACCATGCAGATGCAATCCGCGAAGCGAAATGTGGGTTTAGCGTCATCATAACAATTGCGCCTTCGGCGGCCGAAAATGCAACCGTCTCCGAGTGGTTGCGCCAGAGGTTGCGCCCTCGGCTGCTGAGAATGCAATATTCTTCTTTCGGCTGCAGTATATAAGTTGCGCCATCAGCGGCCGAGCGTACCGCCATGTCCCAGGAGCCATTTGTTGGGTTGTGCCATTTGTTGCGCCATCAGCGGCCGAGCGTACAGCCGAGTTGGGTTGTGCCATTTGTTGCGCCTGCGGCCGACAGGAGCAACACCACCTTCTGACGGATGTTTTACATGATGATGAGGAGAAGAAAAATAAGGGAGAGAAGGCAGAAGGCGGGGGAGGAAAATGATGAGCACGGGAGGAGTAAGAATAAAAGGGGTCGGGCTAGCAGGGGGAGGGCAAGAAGGGCGGGAGGACGAAGAGGACGAGGGGGCTGAAGAGGAGGAGGAGGAGGAGGAGGAGGCCGAGGAGGAGGAGGAACAGCAGGGCAACAAAACACTGCTATTCACAGGTTTTTTTTTTGGTCAGTGATACCACGAAACACTGCTATTCACATGTTTTTTTTTGGTTTTCAGAGGTCTGCAAACTTCGCCGGCGATGGTCGGCGCCGATGAGCGCCAGAAAAACTTGTGAATAACAGTGTTTGGTGGTTTTGTGGCGAGAAAACTTTGCTATTCACAGTTGTATATATATATATAAACTATGAGATTTTCTAGCTGAAACAAAAAACAATGTGAATAGCAAGGTTTTCTCGCCGCGATGCTACGAAACCCTGTTATTCATTTTTTTTTTGGGGGGGGGTCCAGCTGAAACCCAAAAAAAAACAAAAAAATGTGAATAGCACGGTTTTCTCGCCACGATGCTACGAACCCCTGGTATTCACATGTTTTTTCAAGTTGTCACCGTCCACCAACCTCCTGGCGAAGTTCGCAGACCTCTGAAAACCAAAAAAAACACAAAAAAAAACCTGTGAATAGCAATGTTTCGTGGCATCACTGACCAAAAAAACAAAAAAACATGTGAATAGCAGGGTTTCGTGGTAGATCTTCTCCCATAAGCCTCTTTGGAGGAGAAGCTAGAGGAAGAGGAGAAGGGGGAGGACGAAGAGGACGATGAGGAGAAGGAGAAGGAAGAGGAGGAGGAAGAGGAGGAGGAGGAGGAGGAGGACGGAGAAAGAAAACGAAGAAGAGGCTTCACGGGGTGCTGGGGGGGGGGGGCTGACCATTATATATATATATTATATATATATATATATATATATATATATGTATATATATATATATGTATCCTACCCGGTGGCCATGAGGCGTCTGGATGAATTCGCTGCGGCTGGCAGACATACAAGTCAGTTGCCGAGATGCTCTGCCAACCACCCTGCCGTCAGCACGCTGTGCCGCGCCAGCGGCGAGATCGTGAGAGTGGCCGTCCCGACGGGCGGAAAGGCGAGACCTGTTGTCCGCAGCGTCGAGCCGGGCCACAACGTCATCTGGAAGCTTCAGATCCGGCTGCACACGGATAGCGTCCCAACAATTAGGGCGCCTTCGATCGCATAAGTGTCCGAGGAAGTGGAGGCGCGAGCGGAAACAAGTACCGCAGCTCGGGCACACGCCAGAGGCAGGGGCAAAGAAGCGCTGCGGGGCCAAGACTTTGTGCTTGGCACGGCGATGACTCTCAAGAGCACGCGTGGTTGGGAACCTCGCGTGGCACTCCGGACAAGCATGTGGTAGCGTTTGTGCGTCGTCCGCGGCATTGGCGGACGGCGCGTCCGCAATAGAATCGGAAAAATGCGCGCTAACGATAGCAGACGCCCATTTCCCAGGTGACTCGACGATGAGCCGGCACCATGGTAAAGCATCTCTCGGCTCAGGCATGTCAGCGCAGAAGGCAACCGTATCACGGAACCGCTGCAGGTCCGACCGGAGCAGCGCCACCCACGGTAACGGACGGTCTTGCCAACGGGTCGAGAGGAACGCGATGACGTGCGGCGGCTGCCGGCGGACCAGCCGGCCAGGGAATTTGAGGCGGGCCCGGCATAGAAGACAATCAGTGCTCGGAATCTTGGTGCGGAGCCGTACCTCCTTGTCCGTCTCGGCCGGGCCGAACCTCGGAGCGTCGAAGATGCGCCGGAGGACCCTCATATACACATTCGTGAGCTCTCGGACGTATCGTAAGCTGGGCACGAAGATGTGGCCTGCGTAGAGAAGCCGAAAGAGGATGAGCGAGGCCATGAACGACAGCCTTGAAGGTATGGGTACCGCCGGGGATCCGAAAATCTTCATGCTCAGAGGGGCGTAGGCCTGCATGGCGCCCGCCTTCTTGTGCTTGGCATCGAGCACCAAGTTGCCGGCATCCGATACCACGTTACCCGAATGCTTGTAGTGGTGAACAACCCTGACGGCCACGTGCGGCAGCGAGCCAGGGATCGGGAGGAGAAGCTCGCCGTTGGCACCAGTACGGCGTGCATGGCGTGCCGCGGTGCACCCAGTGCCTCGGTACTTGAGGAAGGCCTCCGTCTTCCTTGGCTTGAAGCTCATCTCCAAGGCGAGTAAAGAATACACCGATGAAATGACCTCCAGCATCTTGTCGATGGCGGCGTCGAGGCGGGCCGGGGACGACGCGCAGGCGAAGAAGGCCTCGCCATCCACGAATGCATCATCTACGGAATCGACGTCCATGGCTCCAGAGGCATCGGCAGGCGAGGCGGCGTCCCAGAAGGTTGGCGGGCCCTGCCGGAGCTTGACCGTGAGGCCGAGGTCGCTGAGCTCCTCGATGATGAGCTGCATGGCCAAGGCGAAGGTGCTGTTGAAGACAGCCGCGCCGTACTTGCAGCCCTGCCGGCCGCCCTTGAGAACCGAGAGCGCCGTATCACACGATCCGAAGGTGACCCGTGAGACCACGTGGAAGTTGCATAGCAAACGGACAACTTTCGGGCACATTCCCCAGGCCCGAAACTGGGAGTGGTGCCGGCCAACCCACTGCGCAACCCATAGCGCCTGCTTGTGCGTAAGGCCACGGGCACGCAGGTAGGCGTAGGGGTCGGGCTCGCGCGGAGGGATGCCGAGGGTGATCTCGCGGAGGATCTTGTCGAAAGCCTTGACCAGGTCGACGAAAAGCACGAAGTAGGAGAGGCCACGGGCGTCGCAGTACGAGACGAAGCACTGCAGCAGGAAAGCGGCCATGTCGGTGCCGCGTCCGCTGACAGCGCCATGCTGGCTGTCCGGGATGCCCTTGTTGTAGGCGTCGAAAACGTGGGGTGCCAAGACCTCCTTCATGCCCTTCGCAAGGTGGTCCTCGAGCACAACGCCTCGGTACTCATCAAGATCGTCGCGAGCACCTTTGTTCTTGAAGACTTCAGCGAGGCGACCTCCAGCCCACTGCGCGGGCCACCGCTCCTCATCGGCAACGCGACGGTGCAGCGGGTAAAGCTTTGCAGCCAGGATTGCACCGCCCGCCTGCAGGACCTCGGCAGGGGGAAGGTCGCGCCCCATGCCGCGGTCGCGGCGGAGCCGGCCAAGGGCCTGGAAGACGTCCCGCTCGTCGAACGCGACAGTCATGGGGAGCGGCGGAGCAAGCGGTGGCCTCTCCAAGGCGTCGAAGGGGACGGCGGTGGCGTCGAAGACGCGCGCGATGTGCGCGAGCCATGCCTTGTCGCGCTCCTCGTCCGTCTGGATGAGCTCGCCATCGGCCTTGCGGATGTGCGTGGGCTGTTTACCGACGTTCCGGCCAGAGAGCGAGCGCACGATACCGTAGGACGACTTGGAGTCGCCGCGCATGGCCGCATCGGCCGCGTCTTGAGCACGACTGTGAAGGAACGTGAGGCGGTCGGCGGCGACGAGCAACTTCGTCGAGCGCGAGATGAAGTGCAGCAACCGCCAGAGCAACGCAGCATGGCAACAGTGCTGACGCCATACAGCGCGAAGACCGTCGACGCGAGCAGCGGCGCCCCACCCGAGTGCTGGTAGCGGCGCATTGGGCACGTAGGGACGAGGCGTCGCAGCGGCCCAAGCAGCAAACATGACGCGGTGATAGGCAACGGAACGCTGTGCAGCGGCATCAAGCGCCCTCCGACGCATCGGCGTGACATGTCGAAGGAAGGACCAGGTGGCCTCAGTGATCCACGGCTGCCGCGGCGTGTCGCGCCGAGTGCCGAAAGGCTCCAGCGCCGACCGACGAACGTACTCGACGAACTGGGCGCGCTGCTGGTCCACGGAGCCGCCGACGAAGTGGAAGTCGCGGAGGAGCTCCTGGAAGTGCTGGGCGCGAGCCGGGGACGCAAGGTTATGCTTCGCAATCACCGCCGCGGATGCCTGTCGCGGCCGAGTGCCGGGAGGCGGGGCCAGTAAGACGTCCGCCAAGACCGCCAGATGATCCTGCTGCATTGTGAGCGAGAGGTCCAAGTCCGCCGGGCACCACGCGCGGGGAACCTGAGGCAGACGCCGCTCCGGCCCGCACACGTAGTCAATGCGGTGCCAGAGGCTATGGGCAGAGCACCAAGGGTGTTGTGCGCTGCCATCTGCAAGTGCCGCAAGAGGGCAACAAAGTAGAGAGCGTTCTCATTGGTCTCCTCACTGTTGAACGGGCCGACAGAGGAGTGCATGCCCGCTGAGAGGCGAGCGTTGGCATCGATAAAGACAAACGGGAAAGCCTTGGGGTGTCGACGAAGCAGGGCCTCGATCCTCTGTGTGAGGACCCGCCAATGCTCCTCGCGAGCCTCCGGCGTGGCCGACGCAGCGGCCGCGCGCGCGGAAGCGAGGGCGACGGGGATGTTGGCAGCGGAGACGGTGCCCGTGACAGCTGTGAAGCGCTCATCGGGGGCGAGGAACTCGCCAAGCTTGAACAGATGGGACTTGGCGACCCAAACCTGGCAGCCGCCAACCCGTGCGCAGCAGGACCAACAAACATGTCATGGTGAAGACCGGAGCGGACCTCTCGGCGCCGAGAGCGCCCTCCCTGGACACCAACGATATGAAGGCCAAAGGCCGCGAAGCGCAGCTCCATGACCTGCACCTTGCCCATGAGGAGGTTGCCAGACACAGCGGCGTTGGTCGCGTCCTCATCCTTGGGGGAGAGCGTGCAGACGTTCGCGGAGGCCACTCTGAGGCGGTGTTCCGCACGGGCGGCCCTGCTCGCAGGTCCGCGCTCGGGCCGCGGCTCCTGGAGCGGCGGTTCGTCCGAGTGCGAGGTCGCCGGAATACGTCGTCCGGGACCTCCTTGAGCGGCTGCTTGCCCACCTGACGCACCCGGTGTGACGGGGCAGTCGGAGCGGGCAGTGACGTCGGGAGGTGGGTGCTTCACAACGTGGCGGTGGGGCGGGCGGCCCTCCGCAAGGCCCGCCACCTTTTCCTGGTGGGCGTGGTGGTCCTTCGCCTGTTGAAGAACTGTCTGGAAGCCGGCGAAAAGGTCGGTGACGTGCTTCTCCGCGTTCGCGATGTGTGTGGCATGGGCCCCAGGATCGGACTTGGGCGTGCCCATGAGCTGGTGCAGCTGTGTTTGGATCGACGTCGTAAGGTCCGAGTTGTCGAAGGGCGAGACCTGGGGCTCCAGGACAATAAACGCCTCCTTCGCCGAAGCCTCCTCCGCAGCAGCGGTGTCGCGGAGGAGCGTGGCAGCAGACAAGGCCTTGTCGGCCTCCTCGCGCCGCGCCGACGCGCGCCGGAGGGCGGCGCGGGCACCGTCCAGCTTCGCACCAAGAGGCTTGAGAGCAGAAATCTCGGCCTTTACATCGGAGATTTGCTGCGTCAAGCGCGCGTACTCCGGGTCGGCCGTGTCGTCCTTGTAGATCTCGAGGGCGGCCTCGTAGCGCTTGAGCTTCTTGACCAGCTCGGGCCGCGTCGGGGCGGGGGCCGGGGCCGCGGCGGAGTCCGGGGCCGAAGCAGGCGCAGCCGCCCGGGGCGCCGCAACCCGCGC